CTGGGCCTCCAGTTGGATTTGTGGGAGGTACTATTATGAGCTCTAGGCCTTCAGCTGGACGCATGCAGGACATTTCCTTGGGATCCAGGCCTTTACCTAGATTTCTTGGTTTATAGTGTGTAGATAGATTCCCTGTACTTTTTTGTATAGCATTATTTGGATGACTATTATAAATATGTGTGCTGTATTATATTGTTCCCCTTTGCAAAATATACCCAAACCACAGCATTCCTCTAACCTGCCCTTTTCAATAAACTGAAACAACATATAGTTTTGTCTTCTGATTTAAAGAATATGTTCAATGTACTATGTCATGTTTTCTTCCAAACTGCATAGTATTTTATTATGGCAGCAGGACCAGGATTTATTTTAATGATTCTTTTAGTGTTGAGAAAATCAGATTATTTTAAATTATTTTTTATACACGGAGCAGTGACCATCTGATTATTTTTTTATGAAATCCTGGAAGGTCTATCACGGTGAACTTTTTTTTAAGTAGAGATATTTTGGTCCAGCCTCTGCATTAACATTACCTTTAAATCAACACTTTTATTACCCTTTGGAAAACTGAGAAAATTTAAGAAAAGGCAACACTTACCAATAGGTGACCAAAACAATTGGGAGTTAAATATAAAAATTTTCCAATGATGGAGACTGGCTTCAGTTCTTCTTCAAGTACCGTGATGAATAAGACACAGTAAATTGAGAACTGTGAACAAGATTAACATTTAAATGTATGTAGGAAGAATAACTGAAGTAATATTAAATTATGAACCAGAGACTTGTTCCAGAGGAATGTTTCAGGTGGATTTTTCTAGGTTTTACTACTCTATGTGTAGACTAGCAACAGCTTTTTAACATTCGCTGTAGATGAACATATACAACATGAGAGTCCTCAGAGAGACGTGCAAAGCCATCCCTGAGGATAAATCCTACTTATGGGGGCTCAGAAAGACAACAAGAAATAAATGACAGACATAAATGGAGGAAAATGGCTTTTAAATACAAATGACCATTTTTAACGGTTTAGCTTATTACCTCCTGTGTCTTACATAACACTGTATGTATACTAAGGCAACACTTGAAAATAAGTACAGCTTCAAAAAAAT